TTGTGAAAAAGTGGAAATATTTTTTTTATTTTTACTATTTACGGTGACGTAATCACTTTAAGGCGGTGCCGATATATGCTGTTCACACGTTACCACGACGACGCCGCCGCCGCCGACGAGACAGGTGCCGTGCTGCGATCGTCGTTCACGCGTTGTTCTCTTGTTGTTCGCAGGGAATCACTCTGGAGGAGTTCATCAAGTTCTCGCGGTTCCTGAAGAACATCACCGACGTCGACACGGCACTGACGTTCTATCACATGGCCGGTGCATCCGTCGATCCACGTACGTATCATGATCAGTCATAGCGTATCATGTCGGCAATCGATCATATCGTGTCGGCGTCCGTCGATCGCCGCCGACGTAGATCGCATCCGTCTCACTTTCATAGCGTATATAGCCCGCATCGTATCGTAATCTGTATCGTGCGTCCGTCGATCCGCGTACGTATCATGTCGCATCGTATCGTATCGTGTCGTGCGTCCGTCGATCCGCGTACGTATCATGTCATGTCATATCGTATCATGTCGCATCGTATCGTATCGTGTCGTGCGTCCGTCGATCCGCGTACGTATCATGTCGCATCGTATCGTATCGTGTCGTGCGTCCGTCGATCCGTGTACGTATCATGTCATGTCATATCGTATCATGTCGCATCGTATCGTATCGTGTCGTGCGTCCGTCGATCCGCATACGTATCATGTCGCATCGTATCGTTTCATGTCGCGCGTCCGTCGATGCGCGTACGTATCATGTGCGGAGCGCGTCGTGCGTGACACACCCACTTCTACATGCCCTAACCCCCGACCCATTCTAGTCAGACACCTGCATGTGAGTGAGCGTCGTCTTGGTTTGACGCTAGCTCTCCGCCTCCCCCACGGTGTTAATCTCTGACATTAGATTCCCCCCTCCTTTCTTCTTCTTTCTTCTCTTTCCTTTTCCTTTTCCACGATATTGACTGACTCTCCCTTATTCCCACACGGTATAGACTGACACTGTCCCTTGATCGACACTAGATTCCTCCCCTCCTCTTTTCTTCTCCCTCCTTCCACGATATTGACTGACTCTCCCTTATTCCCACACGGTATAGACTGACACTGTCCCTTGATCGACACTAGATTCCTCCCCTCCTCCTTTCTTCTCCCTCCTCCCACGATATTGACTGACACTGTCCCTTGATCGACATTAGATCCCCCCTTCCTCCTTCTTTCTCCCTCCTCCCACGATATATTGACTGACGCTCCCTTATTCCTGCACGGTATAGACTGACGCCGCTTCGTGTGTTTGCAGCGACACTCCAGCACGTAGCGAAGACTGTCGCTCACGTTGACCTTGAGGATTACGTCGTCGACGTTGTCTTCACGCTGTTCGACGAGAACCGTAAGTGGCGAGCGGGAATCCGAACATGTCACACACGCTCTCTCTCTCTCTCTCTCTCTATCTCTCTCTCTCTCTCTCTCTCTCTCTCTCTCTCTCTCTCTCTCTCTCTCTCTC